AGGACTTTGCAGTTGTTTTTGAAGGCTGGAATTGTCCTGCTTCAAATTTTTCTTTGAACTTTAAGTAGTCTCTTCTTTTATCAAAATATTTTATCTGTTGAGAAAAAAGTGTTTGAAATAAGGGCAAGTTTTACAGCTTAAACAAAAGCACAGATTTAAATGTAACAAATTATTCAACATAAGTTGAGTAAGTCACCTAAGTGATTTGTATTCTAGAATCATTCTGAATCAAGTCATACGATGTATAAGAGTCTCCAAAGATGGTGTAGACCAGTGAGCCCTAACCCCTTCTGGGTTCAAGAGCCTATGGAGAATTCAAGTAACCCACAAACCTTCTCCTCGAGAAATGTCCCTGTGCTTGGACATGTGAACATTGCCGTGTGGGCTCAGAGTTTGTAGGCCATAAAACTTCATAATTTAAAGACACTGTACAAGTTTTTCTTAGCAACTGTAAGTTCAATAAGTTTTGTAGTTCATCATCTATGATCAAGTTTATCTCATCCAGAAACACACATTTGTGACAGATGGTTAAAAATTATATTTATAAACTATGAATGACTGGCTAAAACTTTAGTAAATTAAAGACTTCATCTTATTTATATCCTTCTCTTGCCATAGGGAATTTGAAGTATCTTAAAGCCCCATATTCTGAAACCATAAAATCACAGTAGAAAATCAAGGTCACAAACCTGTCAAGTGTCTAGATAGGTGCTGCTTTGCAGACAAGGCAAAGGCAGAACACCACACATTTTCACTGTCAGGAGAAAAAAAACACTAGGTGTTTTGTTAAAAGCTTTTCTTAGGATTTAATTCTTATTCAGTGGAGCCTAAGTGAAAATTAGACTGAGCACATACACTTCTGTCTCATGCTGGCATGAGAGAGACAGATAAGCCGCTGCAGAGTTAACATTTCTCCCGGGGACACGACAGCCATGGAATGTCCTAACAGTCCCCTCTGAGTATGGCTTTCATACTGACCAAGAACCCTTGTCCTCTAAAACCACAGACTATCAGAAATTTGCTCTTTGAGGTTATAGCAATAAAAATGCAACTTCCTACCTTTGCCTGGAGGATCCCAGGCAACCTAACACAAAGCAGCAGCCTTGATTTCCAGCCCAGGAGGAGGATCTCAAATATCTCTAAGAAAATAGGACCCTGGGTCCCTTCTCAGTCCAGAGCTGACAATGACCTGTTTATCGCAGCCCTGCTTTGAGCTTACCAAAGCACGGCTTCATTTCACTTTTACCTACTTCCACCCCGCCCCTAAATCCTTGGAGGACTCCTTTCCTGTGCCCGGTGAGATGCCCACAGCTCCTCTGGTGTGTGGTCTCCATGGTTACCAGACTACAGATTTACCCCGGTGGCTGGGATGGGTGTTCTGCATACAAGGTGCCACAGGAAGAAGTGGACGGTGTCCGGATCTTTGTGACAGATCCTGTCACATCTCCCAACTGTCTGACCGACAATTCCATGTAGATGTCCTACCAGCACATTGGTCCCAGCTCGGCCTGAACCAAGCTCCTCTTAAAACGCGTTTCTCTTCTAATACTTCTTTCAGTGAACGCACCACTGTCCACCTAAACCCTTCGATCCCACTCCTCTTCATCACTACACTACAGGCCCTCATTTCTCTCCCCTCCTTAATCCATCGGTCACGCCGCTGCCAAGTGTGATCTTTTCAAAACCCAAATCTGATCGTGTCCCTTGCTGGAAGGTCTTTCTGGGCATCCCTACAGACTTAAGGTCAACATCCAAACTCCTCAGCAAGACAAACAAGGCCATTCATGGCTTAATTTCTGCCCACCTGTCCGTCCATTCTGAATCTGCCACCGGCCCGGAAATGCTGGCCATCCAGAGCTGCTCTGGGTCCCGGATGGGCTTCCCTGAGTCTGCGGGGACCACACTCCACCTTACCGCTCTCCACCGCAGCCCTCTCTCCTCAGTTAGCAGGTGGGGATCCTCAGCACGGGGCCCGCACTCTCCCTCTCCGGGCTCACGAGCCAACAAGCACGTACAGAAGAGGACCGTGTCCGTGGGATGCTAGCATGCTCCACGCCCTTACAGGAGATGCAAGTCAGTACTGCGAACGCCGAAACGCTGGGGTTTCTGAAATTGATACTGGGATCAAGTCTCTTGGATGATGCTGGAATGACTGATGGATCTCAACCCTGCTCCCTCCTCAGCAATGAACCAACAGGAGACTTTCAGTCGGCCTGTCACACAGGTCAGGCTGATGAGCGCCATAAAAGCAGCAAAGCGTCAGAGAAGAGTAATTCGTTCTGGTGACACCCAGCATTTTAGTTTGTATGTAACAAA